TTTTTTTCTGTGGGAGTGGGACGGGACAGGAGTGAAAATCCACTCCTGTGTCAGTCTCTACCGGGTACTTTCAGCCCTCTCAGAACACAAGCGCACTGCTCTACTAGGCTAACACTCCCCTAATGTGGTGAATAACTATAAATAATTTTTTTTTTTTTTTAACAGTGTCCTATCAGGCAATGTGGCAATAAGAATAATTGTCTTGATGCCAAAAAGAGCCCAACAGATTTTACTTTCACAAGTGTAGCAGTATGGAAATCGCCATATTGCTCCACTTGTTTCATGCATATAAATTGCTTTATTATAATTATGCAGGGAGTTTTACAGATTATATGGACACTGCAATGTAAATAGAACAGAAGAGGAAAAACAAGAAGAAAAAGAAATAAGATGAAAGAAAGAGGAGATAGAAAGGAGACAATGACAAAACATTTTCAGTCTGCTTCATCACCTGTAACGAGATGTAAAAAGAACAGCACAACAGAAAGACATAGTACGAGACATACAATAAAGCAACACCTTGAAACTTTTGCTGAAGTAGTATTATTTAGTCTGACATGTACTCTATGTTACCTGAAGATATGAATGTGGGGTTTCTGTATGGAAGTGAATCTCAGAGTACCTGGAGCCTAGCACCTGTAGTTGCTTGTGAGAGTGCACTTGTGCATGTAAAGTTTAACCATTGAGAAAATGCTCAATAGTGGTTGTGGAGAGCCGATGAGGCGCCCCCCAGAGCACTGAGTCCAGCGTCGGGAGACCCAAAGCCCCAGATGCCCAAAGGGACCCCAAGAGCGAAGGCACCAAGGAGGAGAGACAGCCCCAAGGAAGTCCCCCAGCCACCGCCATGCCGGCGCCTCGGGGAGCCGTGGGGACGAGTCCGCGGGCTCCGCCAGCAGCCAACCACCCTGAAGTGAATCCGGCCCTGGGCCCCAGTGATCCGAGGCCCCATTTAGTGTAAACAGAAATCCGACTTTTTGCAGTACTTCTGGTTAAACTGAAGTAATGTTTAGCCTGAAGGTGATCTTCCTGAATTAAACCATGCATTTCTTATAATCCAGATTTGTTTTGATTTAACCATGTGTTTGAATGCCAGTGAATATATTTCAATTTACTTCATGGTATATCTTAAAGTGATCAATCCTCATCTTGTTTAGAATGCCTCAAACTTCTAAAACTGTTTATAATCAGTTGGGAATCAGTCATGTCTGTTTTGAAAGGGGTACGAAGCTGAACATCTCAGTCCTTGACAATAAAGAGAACTAATCCAGTTAGGATGTTGTCATTCAGTGTTTTTTACAGGTTTATTTGCAGTGGTGGGAAAAAGTATTTACACTCTGAAAGATTTTTTTTTTTCTTTTTACTCTGTTTGGGCCTTTTTTCTCACAAAACATTGACATTAAAAGATGCTACTGCCAACTTCCTAACTTATTAGAATTTTTTCTTTTAAATTTTTTTGATTGTGGGTGAGAGCAAATCAATCAAGCGGGACACTATGGCGATAGCCGTACTGCCCCACTTGTAAAAGAAAAAATCGGTTGGGCTCTTTTTGGCATCAAGAGAATTATTCTTATTGCCACATCGCCAGACAGGACATGTCATGTTTTGGTTGAGGTTTGAGGACCCCAATGCAGAGGGAGAGAGGCTGAGAGACTTTTTTTTAGCAGTTTAATTGAATAAAACAGTTAACAAAGGCAGGAATCCAACAATCCAACTTAAAATGTAAAGCAACCAGAACCATGGAGACATCAGGGGAAACCGAACACGAGGAGCCAGGGAGAGACGAGGTAGGAAGTAAACAGCAACTAGGATCCAGTGACGACAGAAGCAGCAACAACAGGCAACAACAGAAAAACCTGAGAACTAAAATATCCAGAAAATACAACAAAATAGGAATTAAACCAATAAAACAAGAAAACATGGAGCAAAGTAAAGCATAACAGAACCAAGACCCTGACAGGACACTGTTTAAAATAAATAAATAAAAAATAATGATTGTGTTTACGAAAAGACAAGTAATATTTCTTTACCTGTTTGGCTCTTTTTCTGTCCACCAGCGTATAATTCTTCAAAATGTCTTATTTTCTGTGACTATTTTCAGGACATAAATAAATATTTTATCCCCTTATCTCAGGTTCAGCTACATCTGCTATTGCTGGATCCATCACATTTTTACTCCTGGTTGGTTTGTTTGTTGTTGCCTTTATCATTTTTAGGTGAGTGTATCCCTTTTACTTCTTCAAGCTGTTTACTATCTATGTGAGATATCATGTGATTCTTTGTTTTGCTTATTTATTTCTTTTTCTCAAATTTCCAGGAAAAAGAAGGCTTCAAGGCCAGCCTCTGAGATCAGAGAGAGTTCGGGTGAAAACCGGTAAAGAGCTCTGATGTTAGTCTGTCTTCATCTAATCATAGATCAGTTCTTTCCTCAGTCTGTCAGACAGTGAGATATCAAATATTCAAATATCTTCATAAGATAAGCAACATTATTTTTGCTCTTATGTTTGCTGTATCTTTACTCCTCAGCAGAATTCTAGCCAACAGCTGGAGACTCCATCAACTGCAGCTCTTGGAAATTCAACAGATCAAGATGACCTTTGCTATGCTGCTGTGTCTTTCTCTAAGAAACAAGAGGAACCTGTCTATTCTAACTTTATTCCAGCTGAACCCAAAACACCTCAACATAAGGATGAGGAGGATGATGTGGAGTATTCAGAGGTCATGGTCAAGAAGACGCCTGGGTTGGTTCAGAATGGCTTTTGTTCTTCTAAATCCAGTTATACTAAATTAAAGTCTTATAATGATAGCATTTTATAATTACAAAGCATATTTGTTCCTTCACAGCCCGGGAAACCATGATGCCTCTGAGAAGATATGTGCTCTATACAGCCCAGTCAACAAAGTGGACAGATTATAAACAACACTCCACCTAGAAGACCTGTTCAATGGTTCATCAGCTTGCATTTGTTTCCTTTTAGGTTATAAGAAAACAAACATGAAAGGTTTGCCGGTTCCATTAAAATACACACTCTGGAACCCGTGGAACACTTTGCCAAGACTGGGACTTGTTCAGCTTTCAAAACTGACTTATTTCTTGTGGCATAAACTGAACAGGCAATCAGAACCTTCCTAAGATTCGGTTCCTCGTTGTTAGATGTCAAAGTATTTCCTCTCCGTATCCCAGACATCTTCTGTTGGATTTATATCAAATGACTGTGGAGAATATTCATTAAAGAGGCTTAATATTATTTGAGCTTCGTGACATGGTGTATTACAGTGTTTTCCAACCTTTTTTGACTTGTGAACCCCTTTGGGCCTTTTGTTGTACCCCTCTCAGAATTGATGGTTGTCCAAAATTGTAACATACAATACCTGACATAAAGACTATTTTACTTATTTTTTTAATTCGAGCATTTAATTTTTATAAAATTATGTATTCCATATAAAAAAAACAACAACACATAAACATGTTGCACAGAATTCAGTAAGGAATCGAATTGAATACCAAATAAAATCATATTATAAACTTGTATTCATAAAACTGGAGCTCCTCTGAATAACTCCCTTATAATCGCATTTAAACTTGATGAATGGAGAACAAAATAAAGAACAAAATTATAGTCAGACAGACATGTTTTCATGATAACACCTGAGCTACTTCGATGAGCTCCGATAGCTCAGTGTGAAAAACAGCTGATCCCAAGCTGTTCTTTACATGCAGTCTGTTCCTCTGCTTGGTTTGGATGTGTCAAAGTTGAAGGTGAAATCAAACATATAAGAAAAACTTACTTTTTGATTTTGATTGATAAAAGCTTGTTTTATTTTTCAATTGGGTCCTTGCAAAGCAGGAAAAATCCCAGCCCAATTTTACTTTACTACCTTAGAAATAACATAAAAAAAAGTAAAAAAAAACAAAAAAAAACAATCCACTGGACTTTGTTTCCAACTTTGAAGACGTTTCATTTCCCATCCAGGAAGCTTTTTCAATTTTAAATGTCAATTTCAAAATCAAAAATAGCTTTGAGCTCGAGGCATTATAGAGTGGACTGAAAAGCAACCGCTGCAACATATTGTATTGTATCTGCTTGAAAGAACTTGGATTAGAAAAAAGTATTCAACTATTCATCCAAATTAAATAAACAGAGATCGATGGATTTCACTCAGTCGGCAGATTTATTCATATCTTTGCAAAGAGAGAACAGTCATCATGAAGCCCTTATGGCACAGCATTTTACTCTGTTCTGATCTTGACAGAGTTTGTTCCCCCTTTCTTACAACAATGGAAAGTAGTCAGAGTCAAAACAAATTACAGACACTTTGGTTAAACAGTAACATGTTATGAATAAAGCTTGAGAAAGAATCTGATTTGTTATGGGAAAAAGCTATGTCTGGTCTACAAACACCATCCTGCAGAGAATTGTGTGGCCTTGAGAGAGAAACAGACGGAGTGAAAACTTTTATAGTGAGTAAATAAGATAAATTAACATATAATAGAAAAGAGATTAAAATTATCCGACAACATTCCATTTAGTTTTATGCCTTGTAATTTTTTCTAATTGACATAATAAAGTTCCAATAATTAAAGAATACAACATTCCTGACATTGCACAACCTTGTCAGGTTCCTCTTTACAAATAAAAACTTAAATCATTAGTAACCTAACACACTTTCAAAGTCACCATAGAGGGTTTATAATGAAAATTAAACCTGAGAAAAGAGAAAAGCCTTCGAAGATTCCAAAGACATCGGAGCTCCACCCGATCAAAGCTTTTTTCCCGTTCAAGAGAAATCAGACCAGAAGGTATGTTCAATGTATTAAAGATGTCAAAATAATCTTTAATTAGTGAAATATTATCTGTACTTGCAAGCCGCAAAATAGCCCTCCAAATGGTCTGCATGATGCGTTTGTAGGACTGCTACTTAACAGCAGGAAGATTCTGGGTTTAATTCCCAGACCACGGTCTTTCTGCATGGAGTTTCATTGTTTTCCTGTGCATGTGTGGGTTCTCTCCAGGTACTCCGACTTCCTCTCAAAGTCCAAAACACAACTGTTAGTCTAATTGTCATCTCTAGATTGTTTTTAGGTACGTGTGTGTGTGAGTGCATGGTTGTGTGTCTCTGTGTTGTGCTGTGATGGAATGGCAGCCTGTACTGGTGTTCCTCGTCCCCCTCTAGTGGTGGAATAGAACACTGTGAACAGTTACCAAAAGGTTAGACATGAAGCAATGGTTTTGATAATTTAGTGTTTTTGTTTTTATTTGCAACTCAAATCTTACAGAAATTTAGTTAATTTAGAAAAAAAATTGATACATCAGTCCCTTACTGTTCTCACTGTATCTCATGTATTAGTTTATGCTGGAGATCAGTCACGACTGATTGTGAATCTTCTTGTTTCTCCCGGCTGATAAACGTTTATTAGCTTCTGTTTCTCGGCTTTTCAGGAACTTATTGGTGGGTTTCTCAGAGGGTTTCAGCTTTTTGGTACTAATTGACTAAAACAGCAAAATTTGAATATCCATCTTGTTAAAACACTTTATAACTTTTGCTTCATGTTACGGTTCTCCATCATCCTGGAAGATCCACAGTGCATCATCAAGCATTCCATGGACTGTTTGGAAAGCTGTTTTAGAGGATGCTGTGATCCCGTTCTTTCTGCATGCTGTGTTGTTGGGAAGGACGGTGAGGAAGCTCAGGCATGGACTGTATCAGGATGCTTTGTGGTTGGAAAATTATTTTCCCAAGAATGTGTCAGGGTCCTGGTCTGATTGTTCCTGTTTTCCTTAGTTATCCATTTGTTGTCCTCTGCTGCCCTCTTGTGTCCTCCCTTGCTCTGTTTCTCTGTCCTGCCAAGCACCTGTTGCCAATTTCCTCGTCAGCTCTCTCTGTCTCTGTCCCCTTTAAAAGCCCTCCCTGTTCAGTTTGTGTTGCTGGATCCTTGTCAAACATCCCGTCTTGCTTCCTGTCTGTTATCTGCCTGCCCTGTCTCGTCTCTCCCTGGCTTCTAGTTTGATTTACCCCTAATGTCTCCTTGGTTCAGGTTCGTTTGCTGTTTTTCTGTTGGACTCTGATTCCTGCCCCTGGTTCTGTCAACCAGAATAAACAGGCTTTATTCACCTTTGCCTACTGGTCTCTGCGTTTGAGTCCTCCACACAAACACCTCGATCATGACAGAATGGAAACAATCAGAGGGAGGTACAGATTATCAAATACATTTTAACCTTCCGCAGATGTTGGGTCTGTCCTTGATGTGTTTCACTGATGTTTTTTGGTTGAATGTGGGGTTACAGTACGTAACCAATGTTCTATTTCATATAGGCTTCGCCCTTTAAGGCTCTCGCTAGTGGGTAAAAGGTGAAGCAGGATGTGGTCTATGCCTCACTGCGTCAAACCGAACCATAAGCCTAAGTATTTTCAGCTCAGCCTCCAGTGTGTGTTATTGCACACTCAGATGCGCCATGCGCTGCTGAACCACTGAGAGGGGAAACTCTCTGTTCAGGGCTGAAGCTGGACCACAGACCTGAGTCTATGAACTGTAACAGTAACCATTGCTTTGACCACTGCTGCACTTTTTGTATTTTTGTATAACTTGTGCCATTTGAAATATCAATGCAACGTTCATAAGCTGTATGTAACGCAATTTCGTTCTGTATACACTCTGTGCATACAAAATGACAAATAAAGAAGTCTAAGTCTAAGTCTAAGTCTGGTAGAACAGGCAAAAGGCTCACAGATGTAACACTCCTCGGTCATTAAGCTTTGATCCTCTCCGTCGTGGTGCACACCATAAAGGGGAGGTCTGTGCAGACGTTGAGATCAAACCTGCTGCTGATGAAGAAGAGGACAAGTTACAGTAACTGTAACTGCGAGGAGCGCGGGAGCCGGTGCGAGGCCGCACAAGGTCCTGAAGCATCGCAGAGTCCTCTGCAGTTTTCTGCAGCTTTTCCAGCGCAGAATTAGTGAAGCCCGAACAGGGCATACGGTCTGATGGGGCTCCCCAGCGTTTCCCTTTTTAGATCCTCTGGGATGGAGGAGAACAGGTGGAGCCAGATGTGGACAGAGCAGACAGCTGAGGGCGCGCACAGGTTGAGGATGGCGTCAGCGGAGCTGCAGAACTGGCTTTTCATTTCTGCCAGCACATCCAGCTCTTCTCCATTTTAGAGAGATCAAAGGCCAGGAGAGTGATGTTGTTGGTGGCCGCAGAAAGCTGGAAGGCACACTGGTGGGACCGGTCGGAAAACTTCACGGTCAGCTGATCATGTTTAGCGGATGGAACAGGTCGCTGTCCAGCGAGCCTGTTCATTTTTGCCCCAAACACTGAAGCGAGGCTGACCTCCAGGGGTGGGACAGGTGGAAAGCCCCCTTCGGTGAACCCTTCCACCTGGGTTAAAGGCACGTAGGTGGTCATGGCGCCTTTAACTTGGCGGGCTCAGCTGCTGAACCTGACAGATATGCCATCATAGCAGGGTACTGAGGTCAGATCGGGTCCGGACAATGGACATGAGCGGGGGTCAGGGTAACGGCACAGCCAAACCCTTACGGTTGGCGGCGCTCTGGATGATCGATGGCAGCTCCAGCAGAAGAGCACCGACAGCAAGAAGCGGGTTGGTAGCTGATGGTAGGAGACCAGGAGTGGCTGGGTGTCCGCCCAGCTCCTCCCCCTTCCTGGTCCTCCCCAACAGAGAAGCAGCAGCGAGGCTGTTGCTGTCATCATCGTTTCCCGCCCAGCGTTAAAAACCGTTATACGGAGTACAGCCAATAGTTGTCTGATGCGGGAAAAGCCTCCTCGGCGGCTGCTGTGAAGCGGGAGGAGCTCGCAGAAGCGGCAGGTCGACTGGGGCGTGAGGGCAAGGCCGGCATGCCGTGGACCAAGGCAGCGCTCGCAGGGGGCATGGAGGTCAAAGCCCATGATGTAGCCCTTCTGGCAGGAGGGGCACGGGCGGATGCTGCCGCTGCTTGACATCGTCGTTTCCGTTCTTAATTCTTCAAGTGCTCTTATGTTGCTGAAGAAAAAATGGGTGCCGATTGTCCGGTCTCAACATTATTTATACAGACCGGAGTGGGGCCCACACAGCAGGTGGGTGTGGACTAAAGTTTTCAGTGCTCGTGCGCGAAAGGATAAACCCAGTAGCGAGAGCCTTAAAGGGTGAAGCCTATATGAAATCGA